TTTTTAGCCAAAAAAGAAATGATAATTTCGTCGATGTAATCTTTGAAGATATAATAATTTCTTGCTTAAAAAAAACAGAATTCGTCAATATTTACGTCATCGATGAATAAATTAGCCAAGTTTTATTTCGGTTTTCTGGTGGTTTTTTTGTTTCAATTTTATTCCGTTCCAATGAAAAAAAAAGAATAAAAATTCCTGATTATCCAGCGATAATTATGCGCGTGTAATTTGAGCAAATTTCCAAAGAAATTCATTAAAAATTCCCTTTAACGACTTCTTTTTTGAAAAAAATGGAGAGAAAAAAAAGGAATTTCTGGAATTTTAAAAGCCAGCATCAATTAAATTGATTAATTCAATTAATCAAGCGATCGATTGATTAAAATTGCGATTAAACAATGTTGAAAATAATTAAGGTTAAGTCAGTCATATGGTTGTTAATGGCATTCATGGATAACGATGTAAAAAAAAACGATAAAAAAAAATTTTTTCAACGAAAATTTATTCAATCAAAAACCATTTGATAAGTAATTTTTTTTTTAAAAATTCATCACTGGCAATATAAAAAAAATTATTACAAACTGGAAGAAAAAAAATTTATAGAAAATTTCAAAATGAATAAAAGAAATCGAAGAAGAAAAAGAATATTCTGTCTGTGTGTGTGTGTGTGTGTATTGTGTTAAAATTGATTTATAATTTATACACGAAGAGAGAGAGAGAGAGAGATAAAAAATTCTTTATTAAAATTATAAGTGTGTCTTGTGTAAAATTCAATTATAATTCGATAATAATAATGATTTATTTTGTAATTTAAAAAAAATGATAAACAAAAAACACTTTTAAAAATCGATTTTTTTTGAAATTCTGATTCCTTTTTGCCATTGGATTATTGGTTATTGAACTTTTTTGGCCACAAATTGTATTGATCCATTATTTGTTGTTGCTGTTGATTTATCGATTAAAGATGTTTTATCATTATCCAAATTATGATTATTATTATTATTATTTGTATTTTTGTTTGATGATGTAAAATGACGAACAGCGGTACGGATACGATTTTTTGAACGTTTTATAATATATGTCCAAATAAAAAAATTGATAAATAAAATTGCAAATAAACCATAAAGGGTAACACCGGTAATCAATACCGACAATGATGCATCACAAGGTAAACCAATTAATTTTCTTTGTAATGCTTTATAATTAACAAATAAACCGGCAAACATTTGTGCAATTTGTAATGTTGTTATTGTTAATGAAATACGACGTGATATTTGTATACCGGCTACTTTTGCCGCATAATATGTATACATTAATGAATGAACAAAATAATTCATATTACACATCCATCGAGCGGTAGCTGGTGCATCCGAAAATACAAACCATGAATAATTAAGTGTCAATAGGTGATGTATCCAATGTAAAACGATTAATGGTTTTTTACGTAATAAAACAAAACCAGTATCAAGTAATTCAATTGATTTGGATAATGTAAATAAAAGATACCATGCTGATAATCGATAATCCTTTTTTAATCAAATTGAGAAATGAGAAAAAAAGGGAGAGAAAAAAAGAATATTTTTTTGATTAGAAAAATTTCGTAATTTTTCGTAAATAACGTAATAATCCAATAATGAAACAAGGTTTCAACTGTCGAAAAATTGAAGAGAAAAATTGATTAAAATGTAAAAAAAAGTTCAGGGATGTTCTTCAAATTGTTCCTCAGAGAATGATGATCAATTAGAAAAGACAATCAAAAATCAAAAAAAGAGATTTTCTGTATCAATCAAACAAACATGCGCTAAAAATTATTCATATTTTTTTCTTGCTATTTTTATCATCTTTTTTTAAAAAGAAAAAAGTTACATCATAGGATTTCAAAGGAAAAAATGACAATTTTTTTTCTGCTGCATCCAAATGCAAAGGAAAATCAATGACCATAGGTCATTGATTTTTTCTTTCTTTCTTTCAGCATTTGGAAAGCAGAAAGGTTTGGTAATGAAATTTTGTATTTTTTTTTCCACCACCATTTTATCATCATCATCGTTGATGTAATTAAGGATTATGTAATGAATTTTTTTCTGATAAAATCAAATGCAGGGAGAGACGGAGAAGGAGAAGTGGGAAAAAAAAGTTATATGGTTGGGTATAGAATCTGATCATCAAGATCAAACAAAGTGTTAAATTTAAATTGAATTTTTTTTTAAATTATCTTAACTAATGACAGACAGGTAGAAAAGCATTAAAAAAATTCATTCAACTTTTGTTAATCGATTTTCGTAATAATAGCCATTTTACAGGAAATTTCCCGAGGAACAAACAGAAAAACTTTTCGAAAATTTCAAAAAAAAAATTCGGAAATATTTCTTCGCTTGATTTTAAATGAAATAAACATTTGTTTTGCACAGCATGATGATGATGATAATTTTTCGTTTGTTGAATGAAAAAATTTTCTTCACTTGATTGATTTCATTGATCGATTAAGATTAAGTGATCATCATCATCATCCAAAAAAAAAGTAGTCCATAACAAAATCGACCGAAAACACAATGAACAATCGATATGATGATGAT